TGTCTTGGCCATTGTTGGATGTTCAGGCGTTCTCTAACAATTATTTTTTGACCTAGCATATATGATTGGACCGACTCGACGTGTGACACCTCGATTTTATCCGGTAACACATAATTTTATAAATCCAACCTACCTCTCATTATAAATACTTTATTTTCTTTATTAAAATAACATTTATATTCTAGAATTAAAATGAATCCCATCAAATTAAAAATGTTTTCTTGAAATTTTGTATTTTAATCGAATAAGATTTCAATATAACTTTTGAAACATTGCATAATATCATTATTAAATAAAGTAACATTTTTTTTAATTAATAAAGTCTTAAAACTTAAAACCATAACACTAAAAATTTTCTGGTAACTTTAATCAGTTAAAATTTAAACATGAAAAAAGATTGAATTTTAAAAACCATCTCATAGATAGATTTCCTGAGCTTTCAATTTTGTGTCTAGTAGATCCCTAATTTATTATAAATTTTTCAGAATTCACATCTTTATCAAAACACAAAATTGAAACTCTCAAAAACTTATAATAACCCAAAAAGAAGCAAAGAATTCAAAACTCAAAACATCGCAAGGAAACAAATTTAAATCTGTGAACGAGGACCAACCCATAAGAAATTATTGACGAGAATTCCACAACAATGTAGCTTACAGTTTTACACCACTGAATCGGAAATTCAAATTCAATGATTATTAGAAGACACGAAAGTGGTAGAATCTCCATCCAACGGTTATTAGGACATGAATTTTTCCAGACCCACAAAAGTCAGCATCATTTATAACAGATCCAATCCAAACAATTCCAAACCCAGAAAAAGAAAAGAAAAAGAGGAACATGAATTTGGAAAAAATCCAGTGTCACTGAAAACCAAAAGGACTGGGATTCGGCTTGGCTCCAATGGATTTAACGCCAAATCCAGCCCTGTGTTTTGGAGTTTAGCGAAAAAGGAGAAAAATAGTGCATTTTCCATCAAATCCATCACCCTGCGTGTGGACAGCAACACCCAACACCCATATTTTTCTAACCCTAGAATGAAATTCAACTGCTTTCCTAAACTCATTTTTCCTTTCTTGCCTATGGATTTCAAATAAGTTTGTCCACGGCAGGATTGCAAGTTCGAGTCCTGCATTGGTTTGGTGTTGCGATTATAGGTATCCATCGTCGTAAGCTACATGACATCGATTTTGAGAAGTAAAAATAGAAGATTTGAAATAAGTTTGTCCATTGGAGGATCGCACGCACTGTCAAGCATTTGAGACCTTGAGGTTCCATCTACTTGAGGTCTCTCTAAGTTCGAGTCCTGGTTTGGTGTTACGATTATAGGTATCTATTACTGTAATCCACGCGGCATCGATTTTGAGAGGTAAAAAGAAAAGATTTGAAATAATCTTTTTCTTTCTCATATATCTAATAGGGGTGATTGTTTAAGCTCTTGGTCTCGTATGTTATCAATTTGGATTGTAAGGATAAATGTAATTGTAAAAATAGAAAATAGTTGGAGACGGTGAATATTTAATTATTTTTAGGTTTAAATATTATTTTGGTCTATGTATTTATTTTTTTTTCATTTTTCTCTATATTTTCAAAATATTCATTTGTTGGTTTTTATGCTTCAATTTTTGTTCATTCTAGTTGCGTCAATGTACTTTTAAAAGGTCTGTTTTAGTCCTAGATTTTTTGAATTAATAACAATAAAGACATTTTTTTTAGTACACCAAATGGAGGTGGTAGATTCGAACTCATGACTGGTCAGATACATATGTCAATTACCATCAAACTAGCTTAAGTTGGTATATAAAAGCATCTTTTAAAGTTTAGTCTTGACATTGTTATTTCGTAGCATATATTATATTGTTAATATCATATCGTAGATGGTGGAGGATTCAGATCTATGATTCATATCGATGAATTAGTACAAACGTCTAACTATTTATTTTTTAAAATTAAGCTTATAAGCCCTATTTCTTTGTTTTCTAATCTTGCCAAGCTTTCAAAATTGAAAAAGTAAAAAAAAAAAATTATAAAAGTTTGTTTTTGTTTTTGAATTTTAGCTTCAAAGACAAATCTATTTTAAGAAATATGAAAACTATATCATATATATATATATATATATATATATATATATATGGGTAAAGAAACTAGTACCATTTTTAAAAACAATAAAAAAAACAAAATACTTATCAAACAAGTGTTAAGATAATAGAATTATCTGAAAAGAAAAATAAAAAAAGATGCAGGTGTTTAAACCATATATAAATAGAATTGTGAAACCTAATCTCATGGATCCAATGCTTTGATATACTAAATTAGATGCTTTATTTTGGTTTTGAAACTTTAGATTGGAAGTAACAAAAAATATTGAACTTTTTGAAATGGACCCAAATGTCATAATATAGTAACCCATCTTTTAGGCAATGGAGTACTTTATTATATCATTTACATTTGATTAGAATTTTAAACCCTCTTAGGTTAAACTTTTAGAATTAAATTTGGTCCGTTGAATCATCATTGGGTCCATCCATCTAATATCAATCCATTCTTGTTAAATTAATATTGACAAAAATATATGAGATTAAAATAAATTACTTAAAGTATTCGAATCATTTGTTTGATGAGAAAATATATTAGATAATATTGATTAAATAAAAGGTTAAAATACTACTTTGGTTGAAATCGGATTTATGACGTGACATTTTGAATAGGAGAAATAAGTCTCAGTATTTATAATATTCCGAGGATGCAAATCAAGAGTGAGTGTTTGGGGTCGGGTTCCAACAAAGTCAGGTTTCGTGGAATTTGTTTGAATTGGATTTTTTTCGTACAACATGTGGAGTAGGGGATCGAACTCACAATCTTTTTGTTGGAGATATATATATCAATTATCGTTGAGCTATATTCGCTTTGGCTATTTGAACTGAATTTCAGTACACTCAAAACCAGATCTCTTTATCCTTGATGACCATTAATTCATAATAATTTTATTATAAAGGTATATTGTAGAAATAATTGGCAGTTTTATTACATCAGATAATACAAACCATAACAAATAAATAAAATAAATAGTAAGTCTGGCTGAGATAAATCAAAACACCAATTATCAATTATTTGAACTCGAAGAAAAAAAAACATGGGTTTAATTATTTTCATTGAATTAATTAGCAATTACTACAAAACAAACATCATAATTTTGCATTCTCAAGCATCCAAAAGCTCGACTGCATATCATATGAATGGGTTTTTAGATCACATGTAATGTCTCTAATTCAATTCATTTTTGGGACTTTCCTTTTCATTTATTTGGTTGAGGATAATAATGAAAAATCATTATAAATTTCATGAGTTGTTCAAGGAGAAAATATTTGTCTATGCAATATTAAATCTCATTCTAACAAAAAAAAAAAAAAAAACTTTTTGCTATCAGCTAGATATTAATTCCAAGGTCAAAATTCATGTGCATTATATTACATATTCTTTCGATCATAATGTATAGATATGTATTGACTCTTCCGTTGATGACGAGTTTCAGAGAGGTCTATGCATCCTTCTTTCGGGTTGTTGTCGGACAAATGAGCATGCAACAATGGAGCTCGACACCGGTGCGATACCTTGCCTAATAGACTAATGCTCAAGTTAGTAATAAGAGTAAAATATAGTAAAGAGCACCCTCAGGAGAGTAGTGATATATTTTTCACTTGCTTAGTGGTGATGATGGTGGTGGTTCTTTCTTTTTGTAGGTGCTCATGGTCGATCAGGGAGGACGTTTCGTACGTGGTGCAGTGGGGTTCATTGTTGTACAGGATTCTGACGGACAAGGAAGGACATTCTAACGACGTAGTGGGTAGGCGCGTAGTTGCCGTTTGGTACGTCTCTCGTACTATGCAGCGGGTGTGCAGCCCTCATCCTCCCATAATCGTACACTCCATACAATCTACAATCTCCACCTCCAATTTCACCCGTCAAACCCGCCACGTCACTTGTTTGAATTTCACCCTCAATAGTAACATTAATCATTGTCTGTTCTAGCAGTAGCGAGACACACTTCTACATGTTCCGCTGTTAATTCTTCCATATATTAAAGTAGGTAATTTCTCACATCTAAAATCATGTACATGAATTGTTTACTCAACAACCATCATCACAATAGTCTAACTTGATTGTTCAACAATCTCTTGTTCCAAACACCACACGATGTCTTCTTCCTTACAATTTGATGGAACTAAACAACATATTTCCCGACATCTACAATTCACAAAATTAAAGAGGAAAAAAAAACAAAAAACCATTCTTTTATTTCTTCGGAAGAAAACAAGTACAAATAACAAACATGATGAAAGTTGGAATTGGGAGCATGTTCATGATGTCTTGTCATTTCTCAAAAATTTTCACAGAATCATGTTTCTCCCCTGACCGAATCCCTACGGATCTATCATGTAACAAGAAAAAAAAAATCCTCAAATTACTCGAATCTGTAAACATTAATTAAACTAATCATGTTCAAGAAAACAGAGAATTTAGTTTCTTCTCCAGCTCAATCCTAGAGAGAGAGAGGCTCTGCAACTTTGGACTTTATCATATGTCACTTAGCAAAAAGATGCCTATTCTCCATTTCTTAAATCTCTTTGTTTCTTAAATCTTAGTGACGAGGATGACCAAATTTCTTTTTCTTTTTCTTTCTTTAATTTTATAATTTTATTAATTGAATTGGGGTTGGTTTGATTTTGATAAAGGTTTATTAATTGGGAGCATATAACGTGCATTATGAATCATTGTGAAACAAGAATTTATAGCTTCAGAGAGAGAGAGATCCA